GTGACCCCGTCTGTGCTTGACTGGAGACGTTGCAAGAAATGGCGGCTAATCGATGTCAGTGGCGTTCGTGCTGTCAGTTTCTTTTCAGATTGTCTGATTGAGCGGTTGGCGGTGTAGGCACCTCAGTATGCTTGACATAGGCCAGCATTAGGTCCCCTCCCTCCCCCACTCTTTTCCTCTTCTCTTCACTGTAGGGCTTTTAATACAATTATATATATATATAACTAGACGAACCTTATGGTTATACGGCAGTGAAGCATCAGTGCCAACACTGATGTTGCTGTCTTTGATGATGATGATTCACATGTTATAGTGCTCACGTCTTGTGCAGCTATCGAGACATGTAAACCGATCAATAAAGTCCTAGAAAGGCACAAGAGGACGGGACCTTGCGTTTTGAATTCGCAAAACGCACGCTGAGATATCGGGTTACCTCCGATATTCTGTTCACTATACTTTATGCAAACCGAGGATTGATGTTATCCGCATGATTCAAGACCAGTAATCACTCTTCAGACTTCATCTCGACACCGAGACTCGTGTTGCCTTAGTGGGGGCGAGATGGCCCAAGTGGTTAGAGCGCAATTTACTGACCGGAAGGTCCGTGGTTCAAATCCGACCTCCGCCACTCGACTTCCCCTGTCTAGGCATGGGCGACCTGGCAGTATCCCAGCCCTCGTGCTTCCTTCGGGTGGCATGGCAGCTAGGCACCGGAAGGGTGCTACAGCTGAACGCTTTCTTTATTTTTCTTGCCTTAGTGTGCACTACGCCATAACGTCGGTGAGCAAAAATGAAGATAGGAACGAGGTTTTTAGATAATCCACTGTACATCCCAACCCGACCGGAATAATGGAACTTAAAGGCACTAATGTTACTGAGCTTCCTGAGCATCCCCTGACAGAATATACAAAACGGCAGTTCTATCCACAAAGCCAAAAGCACCTTTAAAAATCGTTCAGCTGCAGCACCATTGCGATGCCTAACTGCAACGCCTTAGAAAGAGGCACGATGGCTGGGATATTGCTAGGTTGCCCAAACCTATACAGGGGAGGTTAAGAGGCAGAGGTCGGGTTCCAACCACGGACATTCCGGTCAGTAAATTAGCTCTCAAACCGTTGAGCCATCTCGCCTTTGAAGTTGAAGAAAACCAGCTTGTTGGTCAACAGTAAATGGGAAGCTAATAAAGCACTATAAGTAGTATCGAAACATAGTTAATGCACCCCTTACCAGGTCGGAATCCCGCTTGCTGCGCTCGGACATCCTCATGTACCGAAAATAGGCATAATAATATGAAGCCATCAGTCATTAATGCACCCTTACCAGGTCGGAATCCCGCTTGCTGCGCTCGGACATCCTCATGTACCGAAAATAGGCATAATAATATGAAGCCATCAGTCATGTTACGACAGGACTGAAGCTTACATCCCAACGGTTGGAAACGTTGGTTCAGGTACCTCTTTTGATAACGGGTATAGTCACCTTCCGCACGAATAGACTGCAACTTATCGTGGTGTGGCGGTTTGTGCGTCTCCGTGACCCATTCAGCTATACAGGGTAGTGTCCAAGCGACACTCAGTCTCCCATACAGATCAACGGTTAAAGGTCTAACCGACATAGCTTCCTGGCACTCCAGGTTAGGGTTAGAACATATGAGTCAACTTGTTTCATAAAAATGGTAATGCACCTACATTCTCAGCCAAACACCGCCGCCTTCCGATCAGGATTTGAACCAAAGGCTTCAAGGTTATCCTCCTGGCCTGACTCAAACGCCTGAAACACAATGCAGCTGTCGTGTGGGTTTTCTTGATGGGCCGTGCTCATTTATCTGACCCGTTTAAATGAAGAGAGTCGGGCTGGTCCGAGGAAGCAGGGAGTAAGGAATACGTATTTGACTCTCAATGCGGCTGCGCACAGCAAATGCATTCTGGGTGACACCAGATTCCCTGGTCTAAACATCATTTCGACATCAGAAACGATAAACAAGGTGCGATGAATCTTACTTCCTCTAGATTCTCTCACAGATGCTGCCAAAGGAACCGCACAGAGACGACTGTCAACGGGTATCCAATCAAGCAGAGACGCTTCCGCTCGTTCGCTCAATACAATACCCACCCCAGCATATCCAGCTGCAGCGGCCTCTGAATCACCAGAGGTGCGCAGTCGGAACCTGGAAGGGAGCGAGGGGGCAGTCAGTTCGATTACAGTACTTGCGTCCTGCGTCCTTGTTTCTGACAGACAACATACATCAATACAGAGGGAGTCCAGCGCACGCGCAAGAGCCACCTGTTGACCTGCTTGCTTCAGTATGCGAACACTGAAGGTGGCTAAGTAGACAGGCTTTCGGGGTTTGAAAACGGACTTCGAAGTGTTTAGGGTTTTAACTGAACTCGGACGTGCAGAAGCTGCAGCTGAGTGTGATGCAGGGCGAGCAAAACGGTCAGTCCTAGAGCTGGGACCTGCGGATAAAGTATTCAAATTTGGGCGGGGGAGGGTGGAAGACGGAAAACGTGAAAGTGTAAGAAGGGAGGCGTCAGCAGTAGCATGTTTTCGCTTACCCGCCCTGCTGTATGCAGCAAGTAAGGCGACCCGGCTGATGGCACCACGCGACGGCCGATGTGGCATGAGAATATTGTTAGTTGTGTAGGTCATGGTTGTACGAGGGCTGGGATACTGCCAGGGCGCCCACACCTAGACAGGAGGACGATTAGGGTCCTCAACCAAAGCCTTTGGCTCAAAAGCCTAACCGCAAGGCAGCGGTGTTTGGCGGGAAATGCAAATGCATTACCATTTCTACGGAACAAGTCGCCACATGTTCCAACCCCCAACCTGGAGGGCCAGGAGACTGTGTTCGTCAGACCTCTAACCATTGACCAACCTGGTATGAGAGACTCTGTGAGTGTCGCGCGGACCCCCCCCAGTATAGCTCAGTGGGTCGCGGAGGTACACAACCGCCACACCACGGTAAGGTCCAGTCTCTTTGTGACGGAAACCAATCTCACCATTAAACAGCTAAAGTGGAGTTTAATGGAGAAGTTCACGGCTTAATTTGATGAACTGCCAAAGTGCGCACATTCAGACAAGCGGATGAAAGTTACTAGCCATCAAGCTTGGCCGCGTGGCATCTCGGATCGGTATGACACTGTGTGAGAACAAGCTATCGCACCTGTTCCAGCCATAATTGATGGGTCAGGAGGCCGGTCTAGTAAGAGAGCCCGGATCGAGTATTCATACATAAGACGTTGCATCGACATCCTCTAGTATGATGCTATGGAAAATTAATGTGCGAAAACCGCCCAGTCGCTTGCATACCGATCAGTGTCGATAGCACCATCATTTGAATGCTGAGACTCAGTTGGCGGTTTCCTGCGACCATCAAAAAGTGTTCTACAGTTCCGTCGCTAAGATATAAAAAAGCACAGTAGCTTGATGCAGTATATAATGGATACACAGGGAAATCGCTACAACAGTAGTCAAAGAGATAATGCGCGATTCACCACGTGAAACCAGGATGAAACGCGAGCGGCGAACCAAATAACTCTGCGCCAATTGGCCAACGTTCTGACAAATCGGAGCACAGTGTAATATGCACGCTGTGGAAGCTGTGGGACAGTGATTCTCCGAAGGCAGGTGTTCACGACAGTTTCTGTGGCTGGAAAACAGAAACAAAGCCCGTGAGCCAGAGCCCAGTAAGCAAGGTTGTACGTCACCAATACTTACATATGAATCAATCAAAATGACAGGCACCGTATATACACACAGGTTCTTCACGTCACCTCCATCAAGCCAACGAGGGAGTACAGTATTCGCACAATGGAACCAAATTTTCGAAATCTGCGACGCGTTCATGATGGACTGAAGCCATCGGGTAATTCGACTTAGAGTACCAGTCCAAACTTTTGAGCTCCATTTCGGGGTCGCAGCGATGCTGGGAAAATACTCCATTGGACATTTCTGCAGAAGGCATGAACAATAAAATTTCGTCAGCTGCAAAATATGAATGAAGATTATGATGCGTTTTTGTTTGGGCACATATGCGATAAAACGCAACATTTTGGCCTAAAACGTTTTAATCCACACGTAAATTTTTGTAGCTGGGATCATCGTGCAAATGAAGTCCCCCGACAAGGATATATCCGGTTGTATTCTCCGGCTCTATTCTGGGCGCCATCTTCATCAGCACACCGTTTGTCCGATCTCAGCTCCAGCATGTCTTGTTGTAGCTACCATCGCAGCTATCTGACAATCTGAACACACTGAACTTCTTTGCTTTCCTCATCGTGTTAAGTTCCGAGAATACCACAAGCTCAAATCGCCCTAAAGAGTTTCAATATGACATCCGTTACGATGTTGCCCATAAATCGATGTACGTCAAGCTAATGATGGCACGGCATTGCCACTGTCACACTCGCAACTATCCCCTTTTTATTCTTTACCGTACCGCCTCAGACACGTTCAAGATACTGCAAATTCAACAAGCTCCTCACCAGGTCCTTGTCGTCTCCAGCACGTTTCATTCAAAATCCGCTGAACCTTTAGGTTGAATTTTACCATTTCGTTGGACTTTCAGTCTCTTCCCTCCTTAAAGCGAATAGTTTTCTGTACGGTTCGCGTTCCCGCTTGTGTGTTGTCACCATCTTGCTCTTCAGAGAAACTTTTAAACACAAATCTACTGTGTCAACAACCCCAGGATGAGAGGTCAATTTGTCCAGCTCAAAGCTCTTCCAATGCCCAGCTGCCGTGCTACCGGAAGAGGGCGGGGGGCTGAAAAATTGCCAGGTTCCCCAAGTCTAGACAGGGAAAATTGAAAAGCGGATGTCAGGCCCAAAACAAGAGCCTTTCGTTCAGTAAATCTGCGCTCTATCCAATGAGCCATCTCGCCCCAGCGACCCCATTGAATCTCCACAATTTCACTGTACACCATGATTCTGAGATTCCTGCTGGTATTTATCCGCACTATTAATCCCTCCACTTCATCATCCTCGGTTGCGTTTTTCGTAACCCTGGCCATAAGCCCAACAGTCCAAGGCCACGAGGCTTCAGCGGTTGTTTTGCGGTTTAGCTAAGATTGAATGGCTGGATTACGTCAACTCTGCTCTTCTAGTTGATTCACTGTTCTGGTTCATCATGTTCCGCGATTCGCAGTTCTCTTGTGATGTCTCGGGCACAATCCCTCCTGTTTTTCCCTCCCTCGTTTTGTCTTGTCCACCACATTCAAATTCCAATGATCACATCGGGTAGTGCCGACTTTGTATGACACTGTCCCTTTCAGGCGCAATCCGTTGTACCATGTCATCCGTGCCTTTGTTCTGAATATAATATGACCACGCCTGATAGCAAGCAACACACCATTTGGCTAGGATGACAGCCATGCATCCCGAGTGCTACAACTTGACAGTTCCACTTTTCTTTTCATTTTTGTAAAACAGCTCAAGCTGTAATAATGCTCAGCAACCTTGATTGGCAATCCAGCTAAAGTTCTGAAATCCAGAGAGCTTTCCAATAGAGCTAAAATGGGACAAGCACCGACAGTTTATTTGAAGACGACCACGGGGATCATACCACGTTCCGTTGATCAACTATGAGCTATGTATAAAATGTAAGTTGTCTGCTACGGTTTCAAAACTTGGAGGGCCAGGGAAGTTATGGCCAGATAATGAGTCATTCCAGTTAACCGGTGGAACGTGAAATCGGGCAACTCAGCAATGAGAGCGATAGCTTTGATAAGGGAACACCATGAACCATGTAACCCAGTTATATATGTCAGTGTAGTTGACCACTGATGAGTAGATTCCAGGAATTCAGGCCCAGGATAAAGGTTGACGTGAACCTAACTGAGTTTAATTACCACCATCTAGGTACTCAGGTCACAAATTTTTTGTTCCTGCCCATGACGTGTAACAACCTCATTTGTCGCAGGAGACGTCCCTCCTTCTGAAGCCAGCCGACGTAACTCACCCTTGCTAACGTGATGCCGGGCTCGGCCAATATTTCGGGTGGATAACCAGTCAAACACTGAAGGTTTCCGTGTATCTAATGCACAAAGAGGTACGGTTTCTGACCCATAACACAGCAAGAACCACAATGTCGGTGTGGGTACTCCCCCTTTGGTAAACAAACTGACTTCCCGTTGTCGCCGTATAGTTAACGGGTTGGTAAAAGCTAAGCCTCAATCATCGGGGTTTCAGATGTAACGTAAGTTACAAGTAGCACATTAGTTAAACAGATGAAATTCAGTGGTGCAACAAGAAAGCTCCGTCTTACACTACTTGATGAAACGAACACAGCAGAAGTTCTACAGTGCAGCTGTCCATGAAAACAGGAGCTGGCGTGTGGTGCGGTTATTAGGGATGTATATTCAACAGGGCAAATTTTAATCAACACACACTGTCATTATTCCTGATAATTGGCTAAAATAAGCTTTCAGATAGAGAGGAACGACTATTTATGAACGTTTTAAAAAACGGTGTCATTTAAGCACCTGCCTTGGAACGAACATATGATCAATTCACATTCGACCAGGAGGAAATCAAGTTTGACCACCACGAACCTTTCTCCTGGCAATTTATAACCCTTCACAAGATAACATCAGGGTTGAATGTCTATGTTACCAGCACCAGGATGAGGCCGAGAAGAATTTGATTCTTTCTCAACATAACCACGGATCATGACAGCCCTGCGGAAAGATTATTGAAATAATTTGAGGGCTATTTGCGAACATCATGTAGAAGCACGACTCCATCCGCGGAATTGATCCAAAGTTTGTCGTGAACCACATACAGCACAAGCCTAGCACGCAATCAGAGAAAAGTGTTAGATAAGCACTCCGGCTAAGAAGTGACACAAAGCTCGCCATCGGGATCATTTGTGTGCCATCTTCTCTGGCACCAGAAGAATCACGTGGGCCTAATCGCGGAAGGCGCGAGAATTTCAGGGCGTTCTAGCCGATACTAGCCGCTCTCACTTCCCATCGCCAACTGTCCGACAAAACAGTAATTGGAATGGAAAACGAGGCTTTTTCTGGTAGGCGGTGGTCGGACATACGTGTTAAATACCTCAAAAACCTTGACGTCGTAAGCCTTATCCGCTGCTCCAGCGATCCTACGCATCGTCTAAATTCTCACTTAAGGAGTTTTAGTCAGTTGTTGCTTGCTATATGACGTGGACGGTGTTTGTCAAATATGTGAAGACATATGAGGTTTTCAGATCGGAGGGGTCGGTTTGTAAACACAACCCTTGAAACTCAGTGATATTCGTTCTAAGCGCCTAAGGCGACGCAGGTTAGCGAAACTTGTTCGCGCCTTGGTGACGTACCCACAGATACCTAGGTGATTCATATAGCTGATAAAAGAACTTATAAACACGCGCAAGCACCGCATTCTGAAGTACCAGGGGAAAACATTAAAATGGGGATGCCCTGACCAAGATAAAAGAACTTATAAACATGCGCAAGCACCTCATTCTGAAGTACCGGGGGAAAACATTAAAATGGGGATGCCCTGAAGTAACAGCTTGTAACTTGAAGGTGCGAAGTGTACACCTAAAAAGGTTTCTTTTTCCAATACTCTATGTGAGACTTTGAGCAGGGTTTAGTTCACAGTTCAAGGTATCTTCGGTTGCCAACCGACGCAAATTCGGAAGATCTACGATTT